GGGGGGGGGGGGGGGGGGGGGGGGCATGCATTGCTCGTTGATCAATCAAATGATCGGTCGAATCACTAGTTAAATCAGTCCAACGAGGTAGATAGAATGATATAAACTTCTAATTTGTGGGTCGATAACTGTTTTAACCAGTTGAATTATCCAATTATCTTCACCACTAAGTATATCGACAGTCTCAAAACGTGTAGATATATCAGTCATTAACACGTTCTTAAAAAAATTCTATATTTAACACATTTTTTTAAGGAAAAAATGCATTATTTAGAAATATTTTTATAAAGATACAAATACTTCAGAAATGTATGCTACCCATTAAAATTTCAACCTATCATAATAATAATACAAATTTTTTTTTTCCTTTTGAATAATAATTAACGATTAAATTATAAGTTTAATTGGTATAAAGTATTTAATGCCCTGAAATTTTAAAAAGTATATAATATGTACGATAATACGAAAATTATGCAGGTTTGACTAAAATTTATTTATAAATAAATGACTAATCTATAGACATGAATAAATATATTATTGGAAAAATAATAATTATCTCCCACATGTAACAATATCAAGACTTCATAAGTCAAAGCTTGGGATTAACATCAAAGTCAAAGAAAAAAACATTTAATTTCTTTTATAAAGATTTTGTTATTTACCTTATTAAATTTTTCTTTATTTAATAATTGACTTACGAAAGAAACCTTTTTACAACCCTAGAAAAATAAATTATAAAAAAAGAACTCCATAAGTAAGATATTATATTTTCTAAAAAATAAACAAATAAATAAAGAAATGAAAAAGGGAAAAAAAGTACTTTGAGACTTTATATAATTTTCAAGCTTTTAAAATTACTAATAAATTACAAAAATAAATAAAAATTTAAACTATTATTAAATAATTAAAAAAAAAATTAAAATTGTAATTAATAAGATTTTGTCCACTACAACCTCTTTCCAAACCCATCATAACAAAAACCACTCCCTAATATATATATATATATATATATATATATAGATATTAATTATTATTATTATTTTATAAAATTTGGTATTGAATGATTTTTCTTATCCAAATTATAGGTGAGAAAAAATGAGCTAATCCACCACTTATTTCAACCATCCCCACTTGTAAGCTTTGGATGATTTTTTTTTTTAAATAGTGATTTAATTTTTTTTTTTAGAAAAAAAAAACTATAATCTAATCAGTTAAAAAAAATTAATCATTTTAAAATAGAAAGATAAATTGTGATGTCCAGAGGAGAACAAACTACCATTTACAAGGGAGTAGAAACCTTCCCCTAGCATAGGCGTTTTAAAGCCCAAAGAGGACAATATCTACTAGCGGTGGATCTGTGGCGTTACAAATGATATCAGAGCTAGATACACCAGAGGATGTGCCAGCTTTCTCGCTGTTTCTCAAAAAGGGTGGATTGTGATGTTCCACATTGCTTGACCACCATTTATAAGGGTGTGGAAATCTTCCAAAATACGTTTTAAAACGTTTGAAGTGGAGAAGATGAAAAGTTGAATAATTGAAGGTTGTAAATATATTGGAAATGGGAAGCACACAAGAATTGGGTTCTTTAATTTAGAACAATCATTGAAATGTAATGATTCCCCACTCCACAATTCACACACGAGCAAGCGGCATCAAGAAATGCGTTTCTTTAACCTCCATTACTCATTACTCCTTTTTCTTACCGCTTTCATTCAAACTTGGAAACCCCCCGGTTGTTGAATCCAACCTACACCCACCGCCTAACATCTAATTCACAACAAAAAAAACAATCCCAAATCCCAAATCCCAATTCATTTCATCGCTTCAATCTCTGAAACCCCCCTTTTCCGTCTCCATTTCTTCCATTCAACCAACCCATTTGGGCGAAAGTGATCGCTCATTTGGGCTTCATATAGTGATCGATTGAGAGAAAAAGAGGGATAGAGTGAAATGGGTAGCCGAGATCTGGAAAGAGGAGGGACTAAATCCAATAACAACCCACCTGGGAATTACTCAGGTTCTTATTATCAAGACGCCTCTGAGAAGCAATGGACTTCTTGGTTGGTTCCTATGTTCGTGGTGGCTAATGTTGCTATGTTCGTTGTTGTTATGTATGTTAATAACTGTCCCCACAACAATCTGGGCTCTCAGGAGTGTGTTGCCAGGTTTCTTGGACGGTTTTCTTTTGAGCCTCTTAGAGTGAATCCTCTGTTTGGTCCTTCTTCTTCCACGTGAGTTGTTTAATTTTGCCATTGGGTTTCTATGAACTCTGTTTTGTTTGCATTTGGGATTTTCTGTTTATGAACATTAATCACTGTGTTAATCTGTTGCTGTTATCATGGAAGTTTGCTTGGTTTTAAGTTAAGGTTTCTTGTGTTCTTTTAGATTCTTATGTTTCCTTGTTTGAGGTATTTTGTATGCACTTGTGTAACCTATAGCCTCATGGGTTCTAGCTCATTGCTGATCAAATGAAATGCATAGGGCGAGAGAGAGAGAGCCTTCGCTTACCTGCTTAACCGTGCATAAGGTGACTTGGTCTTACCGGGCAAATTGAGTTGTTGATGCAGAATTCTCGGCTTAGCTTTTAGTTTCACTTAGCAAAGAATAGACCAAGCCGTTCTCCCTTTTCTTTATCGGATTTTTTCTTTTACCTTGTTCAGTCGAGTTCAGGAGGGAAGGACTTAAATGTTTGGAGTAGATCTTTCAGCTTTGTGAGAAAAGGGTACCTCCATTAATGGACAAATGTATAGAATGGCTTTGTAGAACTCCATTAGAAGAGGTTTTTCCTCAGAAAAAGTTATAATCTGTGCTCTACTTTTGTGATTAGAAAAAGGTTTTCCTTGGAGAAACCTTTTAGTTGAATACTATATACTTCTCCTAGGTCTCTCCTTTAATCTCGATAACTGTTGATGAATGGTTTTGTGAGATTCCATGTCGGTTGGAGAGTAGAACGAAACATTCTTTATAAGGGTGTGGAAACCTCTCCCTAACAGACGAGTTTTAAAAACCTTGAGGGGAAGCCCGAAAGGGAAAGCCCAAAAAGGACACTATTCCTAACAGACGAGTTTTAAAAACCTTGAGGGGAAGCCCGAAAGGGAAAGCCCAAAAAGGACACTATTTGCTAGCGGTAGCTTTTAAAAACCTTGAGGGGAAGCCCGAAAGGGAAAGCCCAAAAAGGACACTATTTGCTAGCGGTAGCTTAGACCGTTACAAATGGTATCAAAGCCAGACACCGGGCGATGTGCCAACAAGAACACTGACGAGTTTTAAAATGGAAACCTCTCCCTAACAGACGAGTTTTAAAAACCTTAGACCGTTACAAATGGAAACCTCTTCCTAACAGACGAGTTTTAAAAACCTTGAGGGGAAGCCCGAAAGGGAAAGCCCAAAAAGGACACTATTCCTAACAGACGAGTTTTAAAAACCTTGAGGGGAAGCCCGAAAGGGAAAGCCCAAAAAGGACACTATTTGCTAGCGGTAGCTTTTAAAAACCTTGAGGGGAAGCCCGAAAGGGAAAGCCCAAAAAGGACACTATTTGCTAGCGGTAGCTTAGACCGTTACAAATGGTATCAAAGCCAGACACCGGGCGATGTGCCAACAAGAACACTGACGAGTTTTAAAATGGAAACCTCTCCCTAACAGACGAGTTTTAAAAACCTTAGACCGTTACAAATGGAAACCTCTTCCTAACAGACGAGTTTTAAAAACCTTGAGGGGAAGCCCGAAAGGGAAAGCCCAAAAAGGACACTATTCCTAACAGACGAGTTTTAAAAACCTTGAGGGGAAGCCCGAAAGGGAAAGCCCAAAAAGGACACTATTTGCTAGCGGTAGCTTTTAAAAACCTTGAGGGGAAGCCCGAAAGGGAAAGCCCAAAAAGGACACTATTTGCTAGCGGTAGCTTAGACCGTTACAAATGGTATCAAAGCCAGACACCGGGCGATGTGCCAACAAGAACACTGGACCTCGAAGGGGGTGGATTTGGGGGCTTCACATCAATTGGAGAGGGAACAAGTGTCAGCGAGGACGCTGGGCCCCGAAGAGGGGTGGATTGTGAGATCCCACATCGGTTAGGGAGGAGAACGAAACACCCTTTATAAGGGTGTGGAAACCTCTCCCTAGCAGACGCGTTTTAAAAACCTTGAGGGAAAAGCCCTAAAGAGGACAATATCTGCTAGCAGTAGGCTTGAGCCGTTACATCATGTTTCAACATCATGACAATTGTCGATGACGTTCTTGTGCATTTGAACTTTGTATTTGCTATTGCACACATTCAACTCTACCATTTGTGGAAGAGACACATGAATGCAAAGAATAACGTGAGACTACTCTTTAGGCATTGAGTTTTTACCACAACTGATATTATTTATTTCAGACTACAGAAACTGGGAGCCCTTGAATGGGAAAAGATAGTTCATGGGCATCAAGCATGGAGGCTCATTACTGGTATTTGGCTGCATGCTGGAGTCATTCATTTGCTTGCAAATATGTTGAGCTTGGTATTTATCGGGATCCGCCTCGAACAACAATTCGGATTCAGTACGTCAAGTTTCTTACTTTGGCCTGCATTTTACTTTAGAAATTTCATGCTCACTGGTTGTTTTTTTGACATAATCACGCAGTTCGGGTCGGGATACTCTACTTGCTTTCGGGATTAGGTGGAAGCATATTATCGTCTCTTTTCATACAAAACAACATCTCTGTTGGTGCCTCTGGTGCTTTATTTGGGCTTCTTGGTGCAATGCTATCAGAACTCTTGACTAACTGGACAATATATACCGATAAGGTTAGTAGAAGACACAAAAATGAGTAACAGTCGAAGCCTACCGCTAGCGGATATTGTCCTCTTTGGGCCTTCCCTTTCGAGTTTCCCTTCAAGGTTTTTAAAACGTGTCTGCTAGGGAGAGGTTTTCACACCCTTATAAAGAATGCTTCGTTCTCCTCTCCTACCGATGTAGAATCTTACAATTCACCTCCTTTCGGGGCTCAGCGTCCTCACTGACACTTGTTCCCCTCTTCAATCGATGTGGAATCTTAATCCACCTCTCTTCAGGGCCCAACGTCCTCGCTGGCACACCGCCTTATGTCTGGCTTTGATATCATTTGTAACAACCCAAGCCCACTGCTAGTAGATATTGTCCTCTTTGGACTTTCCCTCGAGGTTTTTAAAACACGTCTGTAGGGAGAGGTTTCCACACCCTTATAAAGAATGCTTCGTTCCCCTCTTTAACCAACGTGGGATCTCACATAGTCTTTGTTTAAATGTCGGTGGGTGCGTATCTTATTTGAACATACCATGTTATCAACAGCTAACTTATTGTTCTTGCAGGCTGCAGCTCTCATCACACTCATCGTCATCATCGCCATTAACTTGGCTGTCGGGATTCTTCCTCATGTCGATAACTTCGCCCATATTGGTGGGTTCTTGACAGGCTTTCTTCTTGGGTTTGTTTTGCTTCTCCGTCCTCAGTTCGGATGGATGGAACGTCGACATCTCCCCGCAAGTTCTCGAGCTGTATCCAAGCACAAGGCTTACCAATATATCTTATGCTTCGTGGCCCTCGCTCTTCTAATTGTCGGGTAAGTGTATCACTTCTACTGATTGATGAATGCTGATAACAGCAGAGATGAAAATAAAGCCTCATTACGATCTTGCTTCGTCGTTACAGGTTCACGATCGGGTTGCTGATGCTATTTCGAGGGGAGAACGGAAACAACCATTGCAGGTGGTGTCATTATCTAAGTTGTGTGCCAACATCAAAATGGGAATGTGGGAACTGATTAGGCTTGTTTTGATATCATGGTACATGTCTATGAATGTGTTTTTTAATGATGATGTCATGTTTCCATATGTTTTCTTAGTTGAAAGAACAGTGTATGTAGAAAAAAGGGTGACATAATTTGTGTGTTTGTGAGCTCTCTGTTGTTCATATAGTGTATCACTTCATTCTTTTTGTGCTTACATCTCTGGATCTTCAAGTTATGGAGTAAGAATGAAAACTTTAATATATATTAAAAAATTCTTACCGTCATTGTATGGATGAAAACCGTCTATGGACACCTCATAAATTGTCTCTTTACTTTTAATGTTAGTTTTGAAAGTTCACGATTATTTTTTAGATGTGGTACTAGCGCCGGGTGTTTTTGAAGGTTTTTTAAAAGTATACAGGTGTTTTCGAAGTTTTTATTTTTTTTAAGGGATTGGGGCGGGAATTCTCGGTAAGGATTGGGTTCCTTGTGAGAAAATTTGGGTTTGGTCTTTTGTCTACTCGGGAGACGTTTCCGCACCCTTATAAGTAAGGTTTCGTTCCCCTTTCCAACCAATGCAAGATTTTACAATCCAACTGATCTCGTTGGCACATTACCCAGTGTCTGGTTTTGATACCATTTGTAATTGCTCTGTAATTGCTCAAGCTCACTGCTATTTGATATTGTCTTTTTTGGGCTTTCCGCTTTAGATTTTCCCTCAACTAAGGAGATGTTTTCACACCCTTATAAAAATCATTCCCCTCTTCAACCGATATGGAATATCACAGGTTGGTTGAGTTGTAACTCTATTTTCGGGTTGGCTGAACAAAAAAGTATCAACACGTGAACCAACCCGAATTTTTAGATTTAAAAAATTCAACCCAACCCAAACCGAAAAAAGAATCTAACCCAACTCAACTTTTATGATGTGGGTTGGGTAGTTCGGGTTGATCGAGTTCTCAAATCATATAAACACCCATTTTGTAAAGAGATCCAAACACTTTACGTGTATATTTCTTTATATTAACCAGTAGTGTAACATATATTCTCTAGCATGCCTCGTCCAAACTATAATAACTCAACTGAAATGTTGTGTAGTTCAAACCACTTTGGACTAAAAGTTGCACGTTTTTCCAAAGCAGGAATATTGACCTAATTTTCATAGAGGTGCTCCAACATTTCTTTAGTTGTCTGAAATGCTTTTTTATTCTCTTATTTGCATAACGATTTCTCCGTGATCTGAACATGAAAACCATCTGGAAATTGTAAGCCCGGAACTCGAATAATGTTACCTCCTTTAATTGCTTCAAACCTGAGTGAACCGAAAACAAAACAGGTTAACTTTATCGATTATGACCATATAGTCTATAACTCTATACTTCAAAAAGTTTCACTTTATCAAGTCGGTCTATTCGTATTTGATATGTCATGCCAATTCACGAAAAGGATCGAGACTCAAAACGTGTAATGAAAATTGTTCGGGAAAACGTACTTACTTATAGCTTGTAAGTAAAGAATGAAGAAACACAGCTATTTGCAATTTAACAAATTCTGCACCAAAACAAAATCTAAGGCCACCACCAAATGCCATCAAATGTTTGGATGCCCCACCATCTGATTTCTGTCACAAAAAGGTAAAAATTTGGTATCAAATAACCATTTCATTTTTTACCGTCTTTTTTTTAACTCAACCCGTGTACGCCTCTAATACTTAGGGTCAAGTTAACGTACCTCCCACCTCCACGGGTTGAACGTAAGAGGGTCAACGTAATTTTCTGGATTCAAGTGGACGGCTGAGAGACTCGGTACAACTATCCATCCTGCTGGAATCACAAATCCTGCTCCGTACAAACCTCATTTAATCTAAACCATTTTTTTAAATAACTCAATAATTTTACATATTTTAAATATACCTCTCGACTTAAAGTTGACCGTTAGTTGACCAACGAGAAAATGACAAGACATTGAGGTAAGTTTTGTAACTTTTTTAATTAATGTGATGTGATGTGGCGTGACTTTATTAATTTCTTTTCTACAACTATTGTCATCGTCCTATACTCTTTGCCCCCGTTGTTGTCCACAACTCATTTAGAGACAAAAAGTGAATGGCACATACTCACAGGTACGGTTGAGTTAGGCTGAAAAAATCTTTTTGACCGACTCGAATTTTTAGAATGTTGACTCGAGCAACCCGAATAAAGTTCACAACCAAACCTAACTCAACCCAACTCAATCCAATCTTGGGTTGGATTAGGTTGTCGGTTTTTTTAATTATTTAAAAAATTTCTACTTATATATTATATTAATAACTAAAATATCCTAAAAATTCAAATATCAAATATTTACTAGTCACAATACATTACTGACATCGGTTACAAATGTTAAATATTTTTAATCATTTTTTAAAAGTATGATAGGACTGAATTGTAACCCTATTTTCGAGTCGGTTAAATTGACCTGACCTGAAAAAATGTCAATTAGCAAATTGAAACAAATTTTTTATTTTTAAAAAACTCAATCCAACCCAAACCGAAATTTAATCGAGCCCAACTTTTATGGTTTGAGTTGGATAGTCCAGATTAGTCAAGTTATCGGATCATATGAACATTCCTAATATAATTAAGTATGATTAATCAAATTTTAGGGACCAAAAGTACATTTTATCGAAACGTTTTTCATTTTTCTATAAGTCACATCGAATTCAGTTCATACCCTTATACTCGACATCCTTCAATGCTTCTCGAAAGATCAACGGAGCTACATTTCCGAGTCGCAGCGTTTCATTAATGAACTACAAATGGAAGACATCACTCATGTTAGATTAAGAAACAAGTGAATCAAGAGAGAATAATGATATGATGAAACTACTTGAAAAGTAAACGTCATGGATTTGTATTCAGCCCAAGTAAGTCCTGAATCTGCCTTGTCCCTGTTCTTCAAGATGCCCTCATGCTCAACCTAACAACGTTTGAAGGTATCAAAAAGTTATTCATTTGTATGTCGATTCGTCAAATTGAGCTCTAAAGTTGATACCGTTAGCTCGGTCAAGACACGAGGATGGTCGACGAGAAATTTGATGGCTAAAGTTAGAGCAAGTGAAGTGGTTTCAAAGCTTGCAAAAAGGAGAAAGAACATCAAGTCCAAAGCCATTTCTTGAGTGAGAAGAGTTCCATGTTTTTCAAGTTCTTCAAGAACATAATCAAAAAAATCATTATGTTGTTTCCTAGGATTTGCCTGTCGTTCTTGTAGCATGTTTTTTAGCATCTTCATTGTTCTTTTCCTACCCTGTCGAAGAATAACAAAACGATACTCCGTTAGGGCTATGGTTGTTTTTGTCGAGTGATTCGTGAGCATTTTTCTTGAGAAAAAAGTAAGAGAAATCATCATCAAACGACTGTGAAGTCTTGTATTTTCTTATTGACAATTTTAGTATAACATGCGTGAGCTGGTTAAGTCGGTGGCTCGAACTAGGAGAACATGGTTCATAACTCAACTTTCTATTTTTTTGGTTGGTTCATGGAGTTTCCGTTTTTTTTTTTATTATTTAATTAATTAAACTAATTCACGGTATATATAAAATTCAAATGTCAAATATTCAGAAGCTAAAACCGTTAAATATTCTTAATTTTCATAATAATCTTAAAACTAAGGTTAGATTGGATTGTGAATCCTATTTGTGAGTCTGTTGGGTTGACCCGATTAAAAAAGTTCTAACCCACAAACCATGAGATTCCACAATGTCGGGGAGGAGGACAAAACACCGTTTATAAGGATGTAGAAACCTTTACCGGGAGAGTAGACGCGTTTTAAAAACTTTGAGGGGAAGCCCGAAAGAGAAAATCTAAGGAGGACAATATCTCGTTATAAAACAACCTATTTTTTGTTTTCAAAAATTCAACTCAACCGAGCTTTTATAGTTTGAGTTGGATAATCCGAGTCATTTAGGTCATTTGGCATATGAACACCCTTAATATAAATTAATTTCACCCGAAAGTAAAAAATGTGTTCCCAAGCATTTATAGAATCGACCCGATCTGATGTTTTACCATTCTAAAATAACTCTAAAAAATAGCCCCGAAGTATAATTGAGTTACCTGTCTGCACTTGTGATGAGCGGTTCCGGGAAAATTAAGAGGCAAGGAAATCAAACCCTTAATGAAGACATCAAAATTCTCTCTCAAGTTCTCGGATGAACTTTCTCGATCATAACTAATCAACTTCTTTGAAGTAAAATCAAATATCATCTGCAATATCGAATAAATCATTAAACTTATAGAATGTCACATACAAAATATTTGATATATTTTTATAAAAATTAAAAATTTTATATCTAATAAGTCGATCTTTGTACAGTGAACTTACCGTTGCAGTCTCATCCTTCAAGTCGATCATGTTACGAGTCGACCACCGTCTCAGCCTTGTCTTTGTTGAAGCCTCGACCTCACGAACCATCTTTTTCATACTTTCAATACCATAAAGATTAATGATCATGTTCTTTAGAGATTTAAAATTTTGGCCATGCATTGAAAGGATGTTTTGTCTTCCAAATATCTTCGTTAGGCGATCGGGATACCAACTTCGAAACAAATTACCCTCTTCTTGAAAGATTAAGTGATTTAGGTTGGTATCGGTTGAGACAATCGCACGTCGTCCCATCAAATTTGTTCGAAAAATTGGTCCATACCTAAAAAGAAAGAATAATTTGTGGGTTTAGTCTCTTTTTTATCAAACGATTTTTTAGGAGTCTCGGGAATCAAAGTTTTAACTTTAAATAAGCTACTAATGTTTTATCTATTAGGTTACGCTCCGATTAGCACATAACAAGAAATATGTGAGGTGAGAGATTCGAACTTCTAGCTCTTGATCGATGATATTTGTAACGTCTCGTGTCTAATTTTCAGATCAAAATTCAAAATCTGGATCTAGCACCTGATGGCCCCAACATTCCCCTACAACATGGTTAAGTTATGTACTTATTGCTTCTAAGAGCGAAAACTATCCCCTAGACCAACACAGGTACTTTTGACACAAGTTTTATCTTCACTCTATAATTATCATAACAGCTTATCTAATGCCATAAACATGCATATTCAGGCTCCAATACTAGCATATCCTAACAATCCCTACAAGTACGGCTCACGAAATATTATAATGGCTACTTAAAGATTCATCATCGGGAAAAATGCTCTATAATGACTAAAATGCCCTTCAAAGTTGACTTTGACTTTTTTTTTCTCGGGTTTCTAGACATATTTTAAGCATTTTTCTCTTCTACTATTGAAATTTAGGTTCAAAGACCCTTAATAAAATCCTTCGATTAGTAAATAAATAAATAAAAAAGGAGTAGAACTCGTACTGGTCGAACTCGAGTAGTACAATATTAACCTGAACAAGCTAGTCATGCTCGGGTTAGCATATTAAACCATTACTTTTATTTTTACGATATATATAACCTAAACAAGCTAGTCATGCTCAAATCAGCTTATTAAGCCGTTAAACTTTCATTTTTACGATATATATATATATATCGATACCGTAAAATAAAGAAAAGCATAGATTTTGAAATACCTAACCATTCTTGTTTCGATGAAAGGAGCAATATCAAAAGAAGAATGTGGGGTAAGGAAGTCCAAATTTTCACCAAGTAATGGAAAACCCATTGAACCTTTAGGAAGCTTTTCATAATGTTTGAGCCTTCTCCAACTATGAACCCATTTTGTAAACACTAAAACAACAACACTTGCTATCAAAACAACCCACATTTTGCTTACCTTCAACAACATAACGTACCATTTGTTTCTTAAATAGGCTTGGAAGGATGTGAGGCCTTTATAGCTAGTGGTACTCATAATTTAATGCTACAAACTATCTCACCTTCTCCAATAAATTTCGTAGATAGAGGTTTTGACGTTTAGACGTAGGAGAAGTGCATAAATAAGCTGAAATCGTACCCAAATCAAAATAGGCAAGTATGGCTGGAAAACTTGAATGGTTTTTTTAAATATTGAAAACTACACGGTAATATTACCTATATAGAAAAAATTAATTGGGATCTCCGTTCCAATTTCCACTCAAATAAATAAATAAACGTGGAAAACTTCTCCATTCCCGTCCCAACTTCGGTAAACATTTCTACTCTAGAGTTAAATATATTTCATTTAGAACAATTTTATGTTAAATTTTTTTTAAGAAATATGTGAGTAAAGTCGTTGGAATTTATTAATCATTTATTATTTAAATTTAATAACACTTTTATTAAAATGTTCCCTAGTCTTAAAATTTATTAAAATCTTGTACGTGTCAACCTCCTTTTATGGAGATATAAATTACTCTTTTAATTTCAACCGGTATCTTATACCTAACAAGTAATATTTATGGGACCTTACCATTAGAAGAAAATTAAATTTTAGTCGGTATAATTTTAATAGTTCAATGTTACAATAACGAATCATTGGTTTAACTGAATAACTATATTTATAATTCGATAAAACTTTGTAAATAATCTTATAATCGAAACTATTTTATAATGATTTTATCATAAGAACTAATTCTAATAACTCTTTCAGAAGTGAAAATGTTTGCTCAATCCACCACACCTAAATGGTGTGAAAGTTGTCTTATTTATAATCAAATAAATTACAAGAATATAGAAAGAGTAATAAATGGAAATAACAATAAATAGAAAGATACAGACAAATATCTAGGTTACAAATATGATATATATGGTAAACTATATAGTTACAAATCTAAACTTTTATGTGTGATTATTAAGATATGATATTTAGAGAATATATTTTAATGATTAGTTACGGTCTATATCTTAGATATTCGTTTAATATTTTTTCTTTATTTTTGGTAGTAGTATATATTTTATCTTATTTATTAGTTATATATTTGTAGGATTTTTTTTATCAAAATTGTGTTTGATTTACCAGGGAATAAGTTTATATGTAACTTAGGTTGTTTAGTTACTAATTTAAATAAGCAAATAACATATTTTTTAAATTGTTTCTTAAAAAAAAAAAAAAAAAAAAAAAA